TTCTGGGGCAGAGTGGTGGCCTGTCTGGGGCCCTCAGAGGTGCTGCTGGGTAATGCCACACAGCCTGGGTGGCCAGCCAGGCACTGCCCTGCTCTCGGTGTCCAGGAGGCCTTGAGGTTTGGCTACAGCTCAGACAATTGCATTTAAAGTCCCTCTGCTTCCCTCTGATCAGTTTACCAGAGACACCAACATCCTGTGTCCAAAAGGGCAGAGAAAGGGAGTGGAGCTCTGAGAGCTGTGTTTTCCTCCAACTTTAGGGGAAGGAAAGTGGCCTCTAAATGCCGGGCATCCTGTCACTGCCCCTGAACTCTGAGAGAGAGGGGTCCCAGGCAAGAAGTGAATGTGTCTCTTACCTAATGTTCCCTGTTGGGCTACCTTTTAAGCCAGAGGACTGAGTCCAGGGCACGAGCACTCCAACTGTGAACTGTATCTGGTGACGTCAGTTAGGTGGGCCCCGATGGTGGCGGTCTGCAACCCGCGCTCAGCCAGAGCTTGTGGGCTGGCGCAGGCTGGCCCTCACCGAGGACACACGGAGGGGTGGGAGAAAAGCAAGCACTGCTGGTAAATCAAATGCTGCCTCCCCCACTTTCCAGCTGAGTGGTCTGGGCACACTCCCTGATTCTTACTTTCCTCACCTCTAACACGGAATAGTTAAACATCCTCAAGTTTGTGTTGAATATCTAATACGATAAATATAAATGAATTCACTTTTAAATAGAAAAAAGTTGTACAAGTTTCTTAGAATGGTCACTGTGACCTCTCCAAGGCTTCTGCACAGGTACCATCTTCATTTCCGAGACATTTTCACATTGGCTATTTTGTTTCTCTGGCCCGCACTTGAGCACAAGGAGCTGGAACTTTCTCCACATGGCGGTGTGCTGAAGCACTCTCACACTCTCTTGTAAGCGCTGATTGTTAGGTGGTTGTGTTCAATTGCTTGCTCAGATTATTAAATTTTGATTATTGTTATTAAAAATTACGTTGTATGAGCTTACAGTTAAATCAATTACATTAAACACAAAGTTAATAAATAATTAAAGCTCACTGCTTCTTAATTATTTTGCTCCACTGTGTCTATGCCCTTGAGGTTATTTACGTCTACTGTATCTGTACGGTGGGCAAGCCGTGCACTGACACGCTCACCGTGCGTCTCCTCCCAGCTCCGTGCTCAGTGATGTCACTTTGAAGCCTAGAAATTGACCCTGGTGGGAGAATTTACACCACAGAAGTGGGCAAAGGCTACAATCAGAGCACCCCCTGCCCCAAAACAGCCAGTTTTAAACATTTACCAGCACGTCCCTGATTGCAGAGAGTGACGGAACAAGGCGTGTGGAGCTACTGGTGACTTTCCCAGTCTTGCGGCCACGCCGAACGTCTTCCTCCCAGCCTTTCTTCGTCACACTCAGCTGTTCCCGCATTCGCAGGGACACGCTGCCGGGGCACTTGGCATTCTCGTGTGCAGACACTCGGGCCTGATCGGACGCCCCCCGCCTGCGTTCCTCTGAGGGGGTCTCTCCTCTGCTTCTGTCTTCCCCTGAGCTGAGCCAAAACATTCACTCCGGATTGTAAAGCGGGCTGAGAATCTCAGGTGGAAGCACTTTGTTTTCCCTCTCTCTCTCTCTTTTTTAAATTTTCTGTTTCTTTGAGGAGAGAGACTCACGGCTCATGATCACCCTGTGGTTTTTCCGACCAATTCTTTACTGGAGTGCTTGACGGAGCCCAGCGGCAGGTGTGTGTGCGTGCATGCACCTGTGTGTTGGGAGCTGGAAGGGGAAGGAGAGGTCAGACCGCATGAGGCTTTCTGCTGTTTCAACTTGAAATCTGTGCAGACCCCGCGGGCTCAAGGGAAGAGGAGTGTAAAATGGAAAGACAGAGCCCCCCTGAGGATTAGCTTCCCACCTTGGCCTCCAGGAGTGTTCGGGGGGACCATGCGCTCCCAGTGATGAGGCCGGCCTGGATCTGGAAGCCTCTGACACCCAGCGTCCAGCCCGCCTGCTTCCCACACTCTGGGGGCGGCTCTCCAAAGACGGCGGCTCTGGCCCTCCTGCGTGTGCTTCTGGGTGGGGCGGGGCCGCCGCACCACGGAGACGGGCACATCTGGAGGCAGGAAACCTGCTGGCAGATCGCAGAAGAGTCGGAGTGTGGGGCCGGCCTGGCCCTGCTGCCATCTGCCATTGGCTCCTGGGCTCCGGGTCAGGTGGATACAATGATTCCATTTACGGAGCAGACGACTCACCTTTCTTCTCACTTAGAGCACCTATTTATTTAAAGTGCCATCGTCCTTTCCATCGCAAGCTTTACTGTGTGTGACTGAGGTTTTTCTCAGAGTTCTGCCCCCCAGAGCTCTGCTTTCACCCCACCCAAACTCTTCCTTCCAGCTAACTCTCCTGTCATTCAGGCAACAGACCCTTATGGAGGACCTACTGTGTGCTTAGGTCCTACTGTGAGGACCTAGGCGGCTACTGATTCACAGACACGTCCAAGACGGTCTCTGCCACGCACCGGGCTCTGTCGATGGGAGGTTCCAGCAAGCCGACCGCTGAGATGGCCTGGCCCGGCACGCGCACACGGCAGGGGCTCGCTGAGGGAAGGACCTTTAGTTCCGTGGGTGACTGCCCAGAGGTCCTGTCTGAGTGTTCCTGCGTTGGCGTGGCGCTGGGAGGGAGGGGGCCTCTTTGTGGGAGAAGTCGGGGAAGCTTTCTGGGAAGGACCGTTTGGGAGCGGGTGGTGGTTCCGGCTGAGCACTGGCGTTGTCGAGCGTTTACAGGGCACACACACTAGGTTCCTTCACGTGTTGTACTTTCAATCTTCACACAGGCGAGGCAGGTGCTAATAGTGTCCTCATTTTACAGACGAGGAAAAGGCGGTTTGGGAGGCAGAGGAAGTTTCCAGAGTCAGTGAGTGGAGGGCAGCAGGGATTTGGACCTGGCGGCCTCCTGCAGACACGTGACCCTGCTCCGCACCCTGCCTCTCGGGGCAGGGGTTCTTCCAGGCGGAGCGTCTGGGTGGGGGCGTGGGTGCAGACGGGCTCTCCTCAGCCTGTGCTTGCCCTCCTCGTTCCTTTCGTGCAGATGCTGCCGGTCGCGAGGTGGGGTGACAGTGACACAGGGGGATCCGTGCTTGCCCGTCACCCTCAGGGCCCTGGGTGGTGGAGTCCCCTGCACTGTGGCCTCCCTCCCTCTGCTGTCCCTACTTGGGGGCCACCCCAGAGCCCCAGGCAAGGCTGAGGGGCGCTGACGTTCATGGCCGTACTCCCTGGGCTGGACATTTGACTGTCCTCATGACCACTGCTCTCCCTTCCATCCTCTGCTCTGTGTTCAGGGAAGTCGACCCCTGCAGGGGGCATTTCTCAGGCGATTGTCAGCTTCAGCCAACAAGAGCCGCTGGTGGGACACTGGGGCTGGGAAAAGGAGAGAGAAGTCAGGCGCGCGCTCGCTGTCTCTCTCTCTCTCTCGCTCTCTCTCTCTCTCTCTCTCTCTCTCTGTCTCTCTCTCTGTCTCTCTCGGCATCTCAGGTGGAGTCACCTGCTGAATCAGCTGGCAATAGCTGCCTGTCCCCTGCGGTTCCAGCTCCCCACAGACAGCCTCTCCCCTGAGGCCAGCTCTCACTGGGGCTCCCCACTGGTCCCAGCCTGGCCAGACATGCCAGCCCCATAACACACCTCTCTGGGCGCCCTGCAGCCCTGGGTGGTCGCCACTTCCTGCCGATCTCTGAATGGCCTCCCCTACTGTCTTCCCAGTGATTCCAACTCTCGGGCGCCCAGTTCCCTGAATTAAATTTTTGAATACTTAGAGTGGTTTTTGTTTTCTGACTGGATCCTGAGTGACACACCCCCGTAAACCAGGTGACGTCATAGGGCCCACATTCCCAGCCCGTCTGTAGCCAGTTCTCTGGACGAGTGACATCACGACAGCCGGATCCCTCAGAGGAGCAGTTATGGAAGCCCCATGTCTGGCCGCCAGGCCGAGCTCCCCTTGGAGGCCCCTGCGTCTGCTTTATTCTGAAGACCCGCCCCCCAGCCCGCCCGCACGTCTCTGAGGACAGTGAGGCAGGCCTCCCTCCAGCAGCCGGAGGGCTTGGCTCCCAGCCCGGGCCCTCCGGATGGCCATGCTCGTGTCTGCTCCGTAGGCCGCATTGTTGGCAACGCACAGAGGATGAGAGGAGCGGCAGAGGAGGAAAGCAAGCCTGGTGCCCCCTCCACAGCCCCACCCCCATGGGCCTCTCCCTTGTTCCCGGGCTGATCTGACTTGGATTCAAATTTGCCCTTTCTTGGACCCCTTCCTCGTTGTCCCCAAATGCATGGAGCTGGCACCTTGCTGCAAGTGCCCCTTACAGAGGTGGGCACTGCTGGGGATGGAGGCCATTGTCCCCTGGGAAGAAAAGGCAGAAGAACTAGTGACGGCGGGGCTGCCGGCGTCCTCGCTGGGTGTGCGTTTGCGTGAGGCAAGCGCCCTTGCCAAATGGCGCTTTAAAGCCTTTCCAACTCACGTGCCCAAAGAAGAAAATAATTAAACTCTTCTGCCGGGGATCGCCTGGCTCCCCGCATCCCCTCACTCAGGACGTTTTGTTCCCACTGGAGCGTGTGATTGGAAAACACAGGTACGTGGGAGCAGTTTATTCCCGGATCATCTTTTCCCCCAGCAGGATTACAGCTGCCTCAGCCGTAAAGAGTTTACAAACTCGAAAGAAAGATAATCACTTCCCTTCTCACGGCCGGTCATGGGAGGCGATGCATGTTTCCAATCAGCTGAGAATGTAACTCAAATGGTAGGTTTTATTTCATTTTAATCCGCCCGTGAGTTCACGGTAAAGGTAAGAGGAGTCACAGCCCTGCGATTCGAATAGAGTTCACTGAACCCCGCGGGTCCTCTGTCGGCTGCCGCGGAGCTGGTCTGTCTACTCCTACCCCAGAGCCTTGGGCAAGCTTTGAGGCCCAGTGTGGCCTGGATCGGGGGCAGAGCTGCCGCAGTGAGCGCCGCTGGAGGGAGGACCTGCTCACCTCATGGGACGTGGCAGCAGTGGCCGCCATCAGATGCCACAAGGCAGAAGCTGAGGGAGAGGAAACGGCGTGGAGCATTAGCAGCCAGCCCACACGTGGACTGGTGGAAGCAGGTGGCCCAGCCCGCAGCCCATGGCAGGGGTGTCGGGTGGTGATGAGCTGTCCACACTGCGTGGGGCTCCCCTGCCTCTGCACGCCCCTTGCTGACCGCAGCCTCGCTGCTCTGTGGGCGCCGGTGGGAAGAATCGGTTCTCAGTTCCCGTCTCAGCTCCACTACTGAGACACCGGGGAGCTTGGAGCCAGCGCCCCGACTAAGTCTCACTTTACACGTTCATGAAGTGACTGTCCATATGACTGTCACCATTTCTGAAGTGAAAGGGAAAGAGTTCCTCAGTGGCCCGCTGTGAACCGCTAACGCCATTCCTTCTACCACGAAACTCACTCCTTTGGGTTAAGCATCGCCCCCTCCAATCCTTGCTTGGAAGGTGCGGATGCCCCCAGCAGGGCGACATCCTCGCTTCCTGCGGCCACGGCGATCTCTTCACCGGTACACTGAGGCAGGCGCTGCTGGTGTGAGCTCAGGGGAGGGGTCAAACCAGAGCCTCGGAGACTTGGTGGGCAACAGGCCAGGACTCAGTCCAGCAGACCCGACCCCTGACTGCTACTGCTCAGAGCCCCTCCCGGGGTCTCCCTGGGGGGCTGTCCCCTTTGTGGCTGTGTTGGGGGCAGGAAGCGCTGGCTGAGGGGTATCTCTCCGTGACGTGGGCCTCATCAATCAGTCGGCCTTCCTTAGCAGGCACCACAGAGAAGCTTGCGTTTGAGCCGTGGAGGCTCAAGGACGGGAAGGAGGCCCAGCCTTGTTCTGCCCCGGCTAGCGGGTCTGGGCTGCCCCCAGGCCTGCGGGAGGCAGAGATATTTGCCTCTATTTACTGTCTGCCCACAGTTCGTGACCTTCTCGCCCCACTGGCTGACGGGCCCCCACCACCGTGGGCCTTGTGCTGGCCACGCCTGGCCTGAGAAGCCTGGCTCCGACCTTGGCACCCAAGGTGACTGCTGCCTGGATCACCAGTGCCTCATCCCTCTGTCCCTCCATCCTCCGCCCAGCTCTGTGGTGGCCACTGGCACCAAAACCTCCAACAACCCGTGGCCCTTGTCTGCGTGGAGCTGGAGGTCTCACTGGAATGTGTGCTCGGCCACAGCCAGGATTGTGCTGTCTAACGGGTCCGCCATGGCTTCCTCACGGCGTTGCTTCCTGCCTCGGAACCCCGAGTTGTGGCTGTTTAAGAAGCATTCGTGTGTCTCCCTCGAGGTGATGCCATGTCTCTTATAGACGGGTCGGGAAGGTCCACGTTCTTGGAAAAGCAGAGGAAGGTGAGGGTTAAATGCCTTAAAGGGCACAGGGGATGATTTCTAAATTTCCAGATGCTGTCTCGGAGAACTGTAGAGCCCTGGGGTCTGCCTGAGTGTGATTGATGTAGCTCCTCGTAGCAGATGTGCGTGTGTGTGTGTGCAGGTGTAAACCGAGTCCACGTGTCCACACGCATTCAGTTCATTCCACGGAATTGGCCAAGGACGGCTAACCCCGCTGAACACTCACCGTGTGCCAGGCACAGCACTAGGCGCCCCAATTCACCTTCGTGAGGACTCCGAGGAGGGGGGTACCGTTATCTTTCCCATTTTCTAGGATGATAAACTGTGGCACTGGGAGATTCAGTCCCTTGTCCAAGGTCACAGAACTAGCAAGTGGGGGGGCAAGAATTCTGACCCAGGCAGGCGTCTGACCACAGGGCCCCACCTTGGAGCCACCAGTGTTCATGAGCATGGGGATGTCTGTGTGTGTGTGTGTGTGTGTGTGTGCGCACGTGTGCCCATGCATGCGTGTCCCCTCAGCCACATGGCCTGCCCTGTGGCAGGAGCTGGGAGGATGCAGAGGAGAGTGTGGGGAGGGACACACCTGCCTGCTCCGGAGTCTGTGTGGGCAAAGGAAGGTGGTGCCCAGTGCGTGGGCCGGGCCCCGACACCAGCCCGACAGTTCTGGCTGGTAGGAGAGAGGGGGTGGGTGTCATAGATCCAATGATTTCATGGTTTCTACTCAAGACAAACAGAGCCCAGGGTGGGCAGAGCGTAACCGTCTGGAAAACGTGGTCGAGGCCAGGCGTGTTTCCTGAGGAGACTGCACGAACGGGTACAGTCTGAAACAACAGGCCAGACGTTTCCCGGCTCCCTCCCACCTGTGTCTGGCCTGTCCCCCTTCTGCCTGCTGAGCAGTTCATCCTGGGTCCCCAAGGGCCTCACAGACACTTCACCCGAAAGGCCTGAGTCACAGAACACCCCGTGGAGGAAGTGGGCTGCTCGTTCCACGAGCTGCAGCTGGGAGGGGTCTGTTCCTCCCTAGAGGGTGGAGGACCCTCACCGAGGCCCTGGAGAGGGGCGCTTGGCCCCAGCAGTGCATCCAAAGCTTCTCTGGTGGAGCTAGGGAGCTGCGCTCTGGGGCTCCGGGCCACCAGCTTCAGCCATTGATGTCCAGTGCAGTCTTCAGGCTGTGGCTTCTCAAGTTCTGTGTGTGGGCCGCTTTGGTCTATGAGGGGTCACTGCTACTTTTAGAATCTGTATGTGACATATAAAGGCAGTTCCAAACAACAGACTTCATCACACCGAACCACCTGTGGCTCCCTCTCCTTGCCAGCCCTGCCGGTGTCTCCTGTTCTACAAATCCTGACTATTGGGCCTTCTGGTGCAAGGAACAAGTTAAAATCCCCTCCTGATGCCCAGCAGGTCCATGGCTCGAACAAAGTCCTAAGTCAGGGAGTCACAGAGCGCCAGGAAGCCTTTGGGCTCTGGAGCCCGTCCCCACTTAGCTCCATGCTCATGGTGAGCCCTTGAGCCTGCACCTGTAGGTTACTCTCCCAGGTCTCAGGACAGTAGCCAGCCCTTATTAAGGGCGTGCCAGGCACTGCCTAAGTGATGAACACGTGCCACCTCCCACGACCCTCACAACAGCTCTGCCTGCTAAGTGCTGTTATCTTACCCATTTTCCAGAAGGAGAAACAGAGGCAAGAGCAGGCTAAGTCACTTGCCCAAGGTCACATAGCTCGTGATGGTGTGCTATCCGGCACACCTTTCTGAGCCTCCGATTCCTCATCTGTAACCACGGTTAATATCACTGTCTATCTGAGGTGTCATGAGGATTAAATGGGGCACCTCACAGAGCACCTAGCAGAGTGCTAAGCACATAGAAAGCACTGGACAGACAAGGCCACTTAATAACAGAGTTGATGTTGAGCCCGGCTGGAGAAGAGAGAAAAACACAATGACTATAGCACCATTCACAGTGGTAACCAAATAATTAAGTAATTCGCTCCTGAGCACTTCACAAGCTCCCTGAGGGCAGGGACTCTGTCTGCCTTGTTTACTGCTGGTTCCTGGGGCTTTGCACACATCTGGCAAGGTGGGTGCTTGGTGAAAGTTGTTGAATGAATGAGGGACTGCTTGGGGGTCCCAAGGGGCTATTCCCAGCATTGGCCAGCACCCCCCGACAGCCCTTGCTCTCCCGTGCCTTGTGCCGTGGTCTGAGCATACTTGCCTTGTTGCTTATCGGAAAGCAAGGGCAGGCTGGGCTTGCACACGGCTGTCTTCTTCATGGGGAAGATGCTCAGGGCCTGTGAGTGAAGTGGACCCCCTTGTAGCCTGCCCTGGATGCCCACGGGTCCTTCTCCTTGAGGGGAGTGGAAAGAGGTGGAGGCAGCTAAGCGCGGGCGTGCAAGCCAGCCGGCGGGCAGGGCCATGCCCTCAGTGGTACTCGGGGTCTGGGGTCGTGGCAACCATCTGCAAGTTTGGTCTCTCCCTCCATCGATCACACTGGTGGACGTTATTTCCAAACCATGCCGTCCCCATCTCAGGACTGTGTGGCGAGTGCTTGCTTGCGCTCTGCTCCTGCTGTTCACTGCAAAAATTCCCTTGGCCTGCCTGGCTCCCTCCCTTACTTCGAAGGACACCCCTCCCCTATTGCCATACGACCCTCCCTGAATGATATCACTGCTGGGCTGCATTCTAACACGACCTTCCACCCCCAGCCCCACCTTCCCTGAAGACCTTTGCCCTCGGGTCAGCCTAGACTGTGATCCAGAAGTGACAGAGGATGGGGGAACATGAGGATGAGGAAGATGACAATGACAGTGAATTTCCAGGCAGGCCCAGCTCCCAGCTCCCATGCTCAGGAAGCCCTGAGCTGCCTACGTCCTTTCCAGAAACCTGGCCCTACCTTTCCAATTTCCTCTTACACCTCTCCCAGGTTTGCCGCCCTGCCTCTGCGTGACGACATGGCGTGCATGCGGCCATCTGGGGAGCAGGGAGTCCTGCTGGGTATGCCAGCTTAATGAAATCCTTGCGGTTTATTACACACAGGCTTCCCTAAGCCCCGAGTGCCTGTGGGTATTTGAAAGCTGAAGGTAACCCCGAGCTACCACAGACGTAATTGTTACATGTGTCCACGCATTCCTGGTGCAACCTCAAACTCCCGCTCCTAAGCGGCGCACGAAATGAGCAACATAAAGTAACTCCTAGTCAGACAAGAGGGGAGACGTGGGAATGCTGAGAGAGGCTCCCCAGAACCCCTCGGGGCCTCTAAAAGTGTATGAAGTTCCCATTACCTTGCATAGCTCTGGCCGCCGCGGGTGCCTCTCCGCCCCGGGCCGTGCAGTGCTTGCAGAACTGGTTCATTGTGAGCGAGGCAGCCACAGGCCTCGCATGTCAACCACGCATGATGTAGCTCAGATATTTTAAGTCCAGTTTCCGCAAAGCCTTGCTCTCACGGCAGGGCTAGCAGAGTGCACAGTCTGGGGGCTCCCTCGGGAGCTATATTTCTGTTCCTCCTCCAGGGCTGGGCTGGAGAGGGCTGTCCTGAGTGTGGGGAGGGCTGTGGAGAAAGCCCAGGTGACCTGGAGTCTGCTCCCCTGAACCCGGGGGAGGCTGCTCCTGGGGGATGCTTTCCCATTCGTCGGTCTCCTCCGCCTCGGGTCTGTAAATTAGGGGCGAGGGGCTGAGATGGAAGCAGCAGACAAAAGCCTTGAGGGAGGTGCCTTCCTCCAAGCGGACCACCATCTGGATGCTGGAGAAGCAGACCCTGGTGACTGGGCTCAGGGGCACCTGCTCTAGATAACACAGCCTCAGTCCGTTGACCCACACACAGCTCTTGCGGCTCAGGGACTTGAGGCAGAAGGACAGCAGGGTGCGGCCCTTCTCCAGGTAGGGCTCCAGGGACAGGTGTCGGCGGGAGAGGTTGGGGAGCTGCAGCCGGAGGTGGGCGTCCTGCCCCCGGCCGACAAGCAGCCGGCTGGTATCATGCTGCAGCCGCGGCGGCACGCTGGCGAAGGCGGCCGGGCCGAGCGTGGGGTGGTGCAGGCTCACCTGCAGGACCGTGAGGCGCCTCTCCATGGATCAGAGCCTGGGAAGGATGGAGCACAGACACGCAGGCTCAGCTGGAGCCAGACACACCTCTGCGACTCCCTGAGCCCAGACATGCTTGCCGGCCTCGGGGACCCCTGGCTACCTCTAGCCAAACAGAGCCGTGTGCCCGCGGATACAATCATTCTGCCTGAGCCAGGGTGGAGCCAAGGCTGGAACTCGTGTGGAAGGTCAGGCCCCCGGTCTGAGCACCAGCTCAGTCTCTCCCACACTGCGAGGAGGATGTGCCGCCCACCCGCTCTGACTTGTAGTTTTCTGAATCATAGATGTGTCCGTCCTCATCTATGCAAGGGATGTGGCATATGGGCTGGCAGGGTGGGGTTTTGGTGATCTGTTGGTCATTTGGAGACAAATTTGGCCCCGTCTCATGGGGAAGGAAGACAGACAGACAGGCTACACCTTCCTTGCATCTGACAGTCACACAACAAACGCTTGTGAGCCCTCCTTTGAGCCAGGCACCGTGCCAGCTGCCGGGGAGAAGCAGATGCAACGGGAGACCAAGCCTCGCTCTCGGGAGCACCCAGCCGGTGGAGGAGATGCTGGTGCTCCCGGCATCAGGCGGTGTGGAGGGACACGGAAGAGGGAAGCCTAGCCTTGTCCTGGGCACTGGAAACGCTGCCTGGAGACCCTGACAAAGAACAAAAACAGTCAGCACGTTCCAGGTGCTTCCTATGGCCACTCACGAGAAGGCCACTTACAGCGGTCGGCTTTGCTCCTGCATGGATTTGAGGACAACTGTCTGCCACATCCGCCAACCCCATGTGGCCCAGGACCTGCCACCACCTCCACCAGGAACCAAGGGCAGAGTGGATTTGAATAACTAATTATGCACTTTCTTGGCGCCATGATTTTGCTCACGTTATTTTCTCGGCTAAGGACACATTTTCCATCCCAAACTGTGTCCAAATACTGCTCATCTTTCAAGGCGCGGTTCAAAGGTTACTTCTTCTATGAAGCTCCTTTCCCTGGTGGCCTTTCTCTGCCCTCTGACCTCCACAGCAGGGAGAATGGCCCCCCGGGAGAGCCTGGCCAGCACCTCCTTTAGCCTATCTTTGCATTACAAGCCAGAGTATGTGGGCCCTGGTCCTGTCCCGGGAGGGCCGGGTGTGGGCTGAGCTGCCCTGCTGCCCTTCGTCCCACTGCCCAGGACACATAGCACCTGGCCTCAGTAAGTGTCTGGGGCACGTTTGCCAAGTGGCTAAATGAGAAGAAGCCCACGCACATGGGGAAATCAAGTCCAGATAGACCACGAAAGGGAGTCTGGTCCTTAAAGGCTGTGGGATAGGGAGCCTGTCGCAGGTGGTGTGGACCCGACGTCCCTCTGGGTCCCGAATCCTCTGCCGCTCCTGCCTTTGGATGCAGTAGGTTAAGGGCTGGTGTCAGAAACCTTATAGTCTGAAAGGGAGTTTCAGGCCCCCAGGGGTCCCCTTTTCCCACGTGCACAGACACACATACGCCTTTGCCCGCAGTCCCGCTCGGGCCCCAGCCTGCAGAAAGCCTCTTCTTGAGCTGTGGGATTAGGCGGAGCCCAGGACAGCTGAGCCGGGCATCTGTGCCCTCAGGCCTGACGGGAAGCTCAGAGTTCACTCCTAGAAACCCTTCCCATGGTCCAGGGACCCTGACAGAGTCCCTCGGAGAGAAAGACTCACTGCTGCTCAGCGTGACCTTACTCTGCTCCTCTGAGCGATGTAGAGCCGGCGGAACTCACCTGCCAGAGGGGAGCCCGTCCAGTCCGCGGGAGGCCTCTTGTGTCTCTTGGATCCCAGCTATTCTGGGGACACGGAAACCCAATCCCACCTGTGGAGTGAGGCAGGAGGAAGGCACTCTGGGTGTGTCTGCCAAGGAGCCCCCTCCTGGCCCCCCGGGGCTCCTCCTCTCCTGTGGCTCAGGCCCCTGACCTCCACCTACCTTGTTGCCCGGCACATCTGGCTCTAGCCCTGCAGCTGGGAGCTCTGGGGAGGGAGAGGGCCTGGGCTGCGGAGGGCGGGGAGGGCTTTTATAGCCGCGGTTCAGGAACATGATGCGTCAGAACACTCAACAGTTTTGTTGCTTTCTTCCTTTTCCCCTTTAGTAAAGAAAATGTAAGTGTAACTTGTCACTGCAGAAGTGCAATCCCACCGCTGAGAGGTGGAGAACTCCCCTGGATCCCTTCTAAGAGGGCTCCTGAGGGGTGTGTTCCCTCCTGGGTTTCAGCTCATCCATCTCTACTGGCCCATCCCCGGGGGCCTTGAGACCTGCACAAAATTCCTGTCCCCCTGCCATAGAATGGGGGCGAAAGCAGCCCAGGCACGTTAGCAGTGACAGCCTTTTTGGACAGAGGGCTACTGGGCGGGGGAGCCCGCACTGCGTGTGGGAGGCTGGGGGGTGCGTCCCTGCATTCTGGCTCGACAGGGCTCGCCGAGGAAGCCGTAGGCAGCGGGGCAGCCCCTCAGTGTCAGGGGAGGGAGAGAATGGCCACTCGTGGCAGGAGGCCTCTCTCCGGAAGGACAGCGAGAGGCCGTCCCTTACGCCCAGCCCCCAGCCCTGCTGGTTCGTGAGTGGTCTTGAGGAGGTGAAGACGGACGCTCGCCCGCACTGTGGGCTCTGGCTGCCCTGCGAGTGACCGGTATCGTGATGGCACTCGCCTGTCATGTGGCCCAGCTCTGCATAGTCCGCCACTGTGTTCATGTGTCCTTTGTTACCCACCAACCTGCCAAGGTGGCAAAGACATGCGCCCACCTGACACAGGGGGCAATTAAGGCCTTAAGAAGGGCAGAGCCAGGCCCAAAGTCCCAGAACGAGTCGGCGGCATAGTCCTTTCTTTCCCCCATCAAACCCCGATCCCGGGCCTCCTGGAGGGGGTACGGGTGAGCGGTGCAGGCTGATTTTTCCCCGTCCTAATAGGTGTGGAGCAGCATCTCATTGTTTTTTTAAAATTGCAATTCCGCGATGACATGTGATGTTGAACATCTTTTAATGTGCTTATTTGCCCCCTGAATATCTTCTTTGGTGAGGTGTCTAGATCTTTTGTCCATTTTTAAATCAGATTGTTCATTTTCTTACTGTTGAGTTTTGAGAGTTCTTTGTATATATGGAACAACAGTCCTTTACCAGATATGTTTTTTGCAAATATTTTCTCTCATTCTATGACTTCTCTTTTTGCTCTCTTGACAGTGTCTTTCATGGAGCAGAAGCTTTTAATTTTAATGAAATCCAGCTTATCAATTATTTCTTCCACGGGCTGTAAAAGAAACATGTCCTTTGGTTTTAAAAGTCATCACCAGACCCAAGGTCATCTAGATTTTCTCCTATAGTATCTTCTAGGAGCTTTTTAGTTTCACATTTACATTTTACGTCTATGATCCATTTTGAGTTAATTTTTGTGAAGGGTGTTTGGTCTGTCTTCAGATTCAATTTTTTAAAATTTTTTTGCATGTAGATGTCCAGTTATCTCAACACCATTTGCTGAAAAGAGTCTTTTTTTGCTCCATTGTATTCCCTTGTTTCTTTGTCAAAGATTGGTTGATATATTCGGGTAAGCTTATTTCTGGGCTCTCTATTTTGTACCACTCATCTACTTGTCTGTTCTTGATTACCGTAGCTGTATAGTAAGTATCTCCTGCCTTCTTGCAAGCAGACGAACTTGGGTCTTCCCGGGCGGTGGCCGTGGAGGCTATGCTTCCTCTAGGGTTCTCTGAGTCTGCCTCTGCCCCAGGCTGCTGCTCGGGGGCCTTAGCTGGTTACTCCTGGGCCTTTTCTGACTACCCTGAGAGCCTCGGGGCCACGTGCTCAAATAAGTGGCCTGGAAGCTCAGAGAAGGGAATGACCAGCAAAAATCACACAGTAAATCTGTAGCCCAGCTGGGCAAGGACCCGGGAGAGCTGACTCCCAGTCCTCCAGGCGCAGCCCTAGTACACTTCCACGGTCCAGACAGCTTCTGAAAGTTCCGATGCCACGAACTCTTTCTGGGCCATGCTTGGAGCCAGTCTTGTGGTTCCGGCGACAAGAGCGGCTCCTGGTTCCTCAGCAGTGAGTCAGGCGGGAGAGGTGGGGTTTGGGGAGGGGGAGGCAGTGAGGGCAGGGCTGGCCCCCAGAGCCGCTGGAGGCTTGGTAGCAGGACCAAGCAGGACACGTGTCTGAAGCTCAGCGAAATCCCCCGCCACGGTCTCTGATCTCCCACTGCCGTTTCTGAATCCTTCCCCCGTCTCTGTACTCTGGGTCCTCCTGGCGCTGGGGTGGGGAGAGAAGCTCAGGTCACTGAGAAAATCCTCTCCTGACAATTCTTGAGGACTTGCTGTGTGTCCTTCTCAGGAAACTAGTGGGGCAGGAGGAACCCACAGGAGCAGATCTGAGGGCGGCACCAGGCACGCCGATTGCCTTGCAAGGGAGGACAGCCCTGCGCAGGCTGGGCGGCTAGCCTTGGCCCCAGGCCTCCGGCCGGCACCGTACCCCCATGCAGTGCAGACAGCCGCACCTCCCAGATGACGGGCAGATAACCGGAAGCCTGAATGGCCATTCTGAGGTGCCTCAAGGGCTGCAAAGGCACACGGGGCTGAGCCTGCTGGGTCAAAGGTAGCTGGCCATGCTCCGGGGCCTTTCCTCTCATTGGTCTGCCCAGCACAAAGACCGCCTGGCCTGCAGAATGTCCCCAAACCATGGGAAAGGGCTTTCTCCTGAGGACGCCCCATGTACACTGGCCTTCCAGTCTGGACAAGACCTCAGTGATCCTCAGGCACTGCGGGCCACCTGCAGAGTAGGGCAGTGGGCAGAAGCCTGGCAGGGGGCAGGGGGAGGCTTTGCCACCCCTAGATGTGACCTCAGGCACATCTCCTCTCCAGACCTTCATTTCTTCCCTTGGCAATGGGACAGACACCCTGTGAGAAGAAACCACGCCTCAGTGAGGAGAGGGCTGTGTCCATAAGCCACAGCCCTAGCGTGAGCAGAGATGTCCTCGATCGTTTGGGTCAGAGCGTTTCCCAGCAAGAAAGAGA